CTTATCTTCACATATATGGAACTGGTAAAAGAAAAGCCTGAGGAGCCAGGGGCTCCCCCCAAGCCCATGTGACCCCAAGGACCAAATCCTCATATGACCTTAAGAGTGAAAATAAATTGGTTTATTTGGGCCAAAAATATGGTCTTAAACACCCAAAAGGAAAGTATCACCAAAAATTAAAGTCATCAGTATATTTTAAGGGTTCAAGGGATTACACAGCCCAGACATTAGACATAAGTTCTTATGTTATTTAGACAATTATCTCTCATTGATGACTTTGTTCCTAATAAGACAATGTTACTCAGATGGAAGACTTCAAATCTTGGTCTATAATACTGTAGTGCCCACTTACAGGTAAGGGAGGCAACCCACTATTGTTCTAGCCTAAAAACTTAAATGATGGCTAAATTTGTTTTCTCTCCCTACCTAGAAGCCTTTGAGAGGTAACCGACACTGATTCTAGCCACCCCAACAGCTATCAAAATGCCTGAAAACAAATCCCAAGTCCATCACTCTCAAGTTCAGCCCTGGCAGAAAAGAAAAAATTGAAAAATGAGCTATTACCTTGGTGCCAACCATTGCTCCTTGCCTCTTCAGATATTTTCAGGACCAAATCCAAAAACTAACTCTTACTCGCCTACTAATTTTAATCAGTTGTTACTTTCCTTCCCTCCACATGTATACAAGCGCCTGTCAACCATCGAGGACCCTGTTGAGATGCATGAAGAGGGAATCCCCACTGTCTGATGGACCCCTAATCCAGTCCCCCACATCGACCCTGGCCAGCAGGAAGTAGCAAGATGGCACCCCCATCCTATAACACAAAAGGGTGGAATGTTAAGGTTCAGATAGCCCCACCCCCACACCAACAGGGTCTCACAGATCTCGAAAGCCCCTGAGAAAAGGGAACTGAGCTGATAAGCACCCTGGTCTTTGAAGCCAAGAGAAGCAGACTTTTCTTTACTGTTTGGCCAACACAGCAGGCTTCCCCTTTGATCTCTAAAGAAAACAGATTTTAACAGTCCCACTCTCCCACTTCCCCCCCCCAACTTTAAAAAATTACATCTTCCCGCCTTCTGCAGGAAGCAGAAGCCTCCCCCTTAAAAGACCCCAGCTCACAACCCAGGCAGACATTTTCCCTGCCTGGAAGGGAATCTTTCCCATGTGTTCCTTTGCTAATAAACTCTGCTTTCTCCTGATCAACCCTATTCATCATACGGCTACTTTTTATCTATCAGGCGAGTTGCAGCAAAACCTTACTATAGTTCTTACTATAAGTCTAAGATGTTATCTGATGACATTCTTAGCTTTTGGATCGGCAAGACCTGGTGGTCTGCTAAGTTAATACATTCTAAAAGGTTTTTATCTGTTAGTCGCAGGATGTTAGTTTGGAAACAGAGGTGGGCAAGGAGTGGCTGTTTAGGGGGGCCAAAGATGGCCCAGATAAATGGTAATTAGGCTCTGGACCTGCAACATTACAAACTCTCCACAGTCTCTGGAGTGATAATCATTGGTCAGCCTTGCAGGAACTTCGGTCCAAGGTGCAGGAGTTCTTTTGGGAACTTTTTTTCACGCACATCTATAACAGAAAGATGACTTGCAAAGGTGCAAGGCCTGCCTCCAGTTTCGGGCACCTTTGGAATCTCTCTAGTTGGATCCCTATTGCCCTCTCCTGGGGATGCTCGCTCTCTGGGGGTTCTCCATCTCCTGGGGATGCTCACTCTCTGGGGGTTCTCCATCTCCTGGGGGTGCTCGCTCTCTGGGGGTGCTCCATCTCCTAGGGATGCTCGCTCTCCAGGATGCTCGCTCTCCAGGGGTGCTCCATCTCCTGGGGGGTGCTCGCTCTCCGGGGGTGCTCCATCTCCTGGGGGTGCTCACTCCCATCTCCTGGGGGTGCTCGCTATCTGGGGGTGCTCCATCTCCTGAGGGTGCTCGCTCTCTGGGGGTGCTCCATCTCCTGGGGGTGCTCGCTCTCTGGGGGTTCTCCATCTCCTGAGGGTGCTTGCTCTCTGGGGGTGCTCCATCTCCTGAGGGTGCTCACTCTCTGGGGGTTCTCCATCTCCTGGGGGTGCTTGCTCTCTGGGGGTTCTCCATCTCCTGGGGGTGCTCGCTCTCTGGGGGTGCTCCATCTCCTGAGGGTGCTCGCTCTCTGGGGGTTCTCCATCTCCTGGGGGTGCTCGCTCTCCGGGGGTTCTCCATCTCCTGGGGGTGCTTGCTCTCTGGGGGTGCTCCATCTCCTGGGGGTGCATTCTCTCCTTGTCCTTCTTGGTAGAGATCTTGGTCTTTATTCATCCCAGGCTCAACACCACCAGCTGCCAGGAGCTTGTCCCTGCCAGATGAAGCCTGTTGTCAACATTGATTATAGCCCTGATGTATCTGCTGTCCCAGAAGTCAGAACCTGTGATACTGAACTTGCAGTTAAAGCCACATCTACAATGGCTGCTTCTTACCCCAGCATTTTAACCATAGCTGCCAGTTTGCTGTCCATGCAGTGGCTAACCCACCCACAGATACACTAATCCTGATCCTAACTACCCCACCTAGGTGAGGAGTAGCAGGTCCAAGCAGTGGGAAAACAGGCAGGTCCTCATGGGATAAAGGGAGAACAGGTGAAATTAGTCCCCACCCAGTCCAGGCTGAGATAGATCACAGCCCTGAGGAGGAAATTTCTGATGACCTTCTTGTATGCAGAAAGCAACACTAACTCCCAAACATGTGTCTACACCCCAATCCCAGGATTATCACCTTTATGGAAAAGGGATCTTTGCAGAAGTAACTAGGTTACAAATCAAGGGTTTGAGTTGAGGTCATTCAGCTGGTCATTTGGACAGGCCCTAACTCTACCACAGCAGTCTTTTTCAGAAGAAGGACAGGTTAGACAGAGAGGAGGACACGTGGGGACAGACACAAAGGTTGGTGTGATGTGGTCTCAACCCAGGAAATGTCCTTAGCCATCAGAAGCTGGACATGTCCAGGAGAAAAGTCTGGCAGACACTGAGAGTTCAGACTGATGATTCCTGTTGTGTGAGCATCTGGATCTGCAGTGATCTGTTGTGGTTGGAACAGGATGCCAAAACAACCCAAGAAATAATGCAGAGCAATCAACAGGCTGTTTCTCCTGATCCTACCCTTTGGTGCCTCCAGTGATTATTCTGTGTATAATATTGACTCTAGAATTCACCTAAATCATTTTCAAAGTTACAAAGATGCTTCTGAGCAGCTTAACACAGAGCTTGGCCTAAAGTATGTCTAGGTTTCACAGAATATTTGAAAAAATCTGGTATAATCAGTCCTAATTATTTGCAAATTTGGTTGAATAACCAAATAACCAATTCTACCAAAGGTAGAATTAAACTTAAGGTGAAGGATGCATTCTGTGCTATACACAGAGAAAAATGTTCTATCTCTCCGCCCAGCAGGCTTTCCACCACCAGTCTGGAAGACAGGATGGGCTGACCCCGTCAGCATGTGACCTGGGAGAGCTATGCTGTGGAGGGGAGTTAGACAACCACTAGGGCAGGGGAGATGGCTCGAGGGGAAAGTGTCCTGCTGCACAAGCAGGAAGGCCTGAGTTCTCATCCCCAGAACCCATAGGAAAAGGTGGGAATGACAGTATGTATTGTGGTGGAGAGAGATGGAGCCAAAGCTCACTGGCCAGGCAGCCTGGCAGAGTCGATGAGCTTCAAGTCCAGTGTTATCATGAAACATTAAAGGTGGAGAGTGATCAAGACAGACACCCACATTGTGCCCTCCACATGTGTGCACACTAACAAGTACATGCACTACACACACAATGCACCTGCATTCACATGTGCACACATAGATGGTAATAAGAAAGTTGGCTTCAATCAGGGCTTCAAGATCAACCAGCCGCACTGCTGTGGGGCAGACTTTCCCGTACAAACCATAACTGCCCTCCTTGCTCACTGAATAACCTAGGGTAAGTTATTAAACACGCCACAGGCTTTTCCCAGACAACACTAGGCCAGGCACTAGGCCCTTGACATGTCTAAGGAACTGATCTGGTTGAGTATGAATGATTCTAACCCTTCTGAGCACAATGAACTGTTCCCCTGTCAGTGTATGATGGCCTGGCCTCTTTTGTTCTGCAACAAGAGACTCTGTGGTTGGTTCAGAAATTTTAACAGTTGAAAAGCCAGCGAGCTGGTAGGAGTCACCTGTTAAGAGGGAGCCTCCACTTAAGAATTGCTCCGTAGGCTTGGACGGTGGCCTTATCTGTGAGGAACTGTCTTGCCTGATCATTGATGCAGGCGGGTCCAGCCCCCATGGGCAATCCCATCCCTGGGAAGGTGGTCCTGGCAGGCTAAGAAGCTAGGTGAAGGGAGGTGTGAAAACAAGCCAGTAAGAAGCGGACCTCCACAGTCACTACTTCAATCTCTTGCTTTGAACTCCTGCCCTGACTTCCCCAATGGCAGAGTGTGATCTGGAGGTGTCAGCTGAAACACACCCTTTCCTCCCCAGGTCGCAGCAACAGAAAACTAGAACAGACAGTCGGGAAGAGTTCCTGAGAGCACTAAGGGAAGTCTGTAGTACAACCTAAAAAGCTGTGTGTGTGGAGGAGAGTTTTGCCGGAGACCTTGGGTGTCTATTGTAGCCACGTTCAATCCCCACCTCCAAAGGCTTGTCTGCCCTTCCACTGAGATAGGTGGGAAGAAGGGAGGATGCTGGGTTGATCCAGCTACAAGTCATGATGGAGAGAATGCGTTGCTGGAGCTTAGAACGCAGACATCAGGGCGACGAGACCATCAAGGAAGGATTCTGAGCTACATGGTCTGAATGATTTCTGAGAAGCCGGATACAGGGAATTACAGTCCCTGACATTTTATGGACTACCAGCAGCTGTGCCTCCCACGCACTGGACTGAGGGAAAGGGCGTGCTCAGGAGGATAATGAGAACTGTGATGCAAGGGCGGGTCAGGGCTTAAGGGACACAGTGGCCCCATCCTTAGGCAGTGGGCGCCCCAAGGCTCTGCGCCAGCATGTGTCTGCACAGTAGGGATGATGAACCTGCCCAAGTCTACCCAGTGAGTCCCCTAAGCCGGTTCTATCCATCCGAGGTTCCACCCTTGAGGACTGGGGCTGAGCTTAGGAAATCCTGAGCAAAATAGTCTAGGTTCTTATTGCCGGAAAGCTAGAGGGGAAAACGGGCCTGCTAAGGGTTATGTTGATGGACTCACTGGCCCACTCTAAGGGGCGGGATGGGAATTACAGAAATGGGAAATTTCGGGGGCAGAATAAAGTTCTCAGTATGGAGACAGAGATTTACTTTTGTGTTTTAAGGTTATGGTTGGATTAAAGTCAGGGAAGAGAGACGTATTTAAGGGGAAAACTCTGAACCAGAGAGGTGGGCCTCTCAGAAAGGGACAGCAGAGTTGGCTGTGCCCCACAACTTCAGTCGCCCGTTTCCTTTGGCTTTAGGAGACAGATTAAAAAGCAGATTCTTGCTAGGAACAGGGTGGTAGCTCCAATCACATGGCAACGTACTTGTGACCCACTAACAGTTTTTTTAAACTTTTCCATTCCAGAATAGA